GCCTGGTCTACCGTATCTAGGTCGCCCTGAGGGGCCTCCCAAGCACCAGGATATCCCCTCTTACTGAGGCATCGAGCGGGAAGTATAGATGGCATTTGCTAGGTTGTATTTGAGCTTGCCTCTCCCGTTTGGCCCAGTACTTTACACAGTACTGTGAACAGATGCTTGGAAAGTTCTAAAATCCACATAAGTGGTAAGTCTGCACGTTATGCTTTGCACACTTTCTAAAATCCACATAGCTGGTAAGTGTGCACATTATGCTTTGCCCACTTTTCTAAAATCCACATAAGTGGTAAGTGTGCACGTTATGCTTTGCCCACTTTTCTGAAATCCTGTATGGAAAGGGTTATGCGTTATTAACCTCGTTCCCTTTCTCTGAGTTGGTTTAGACCCCGGTACTTGCCTTGGGCTCCACTCATCTAGTGTGTCTCTGTCTACACACTCTGGAAGTATTGCTCCCCTCACCATTGAGGGTTATTGTGAGCATGGTACTTTCTTTCGAGCGTTAATTCTCTCTGAGGAGTTGGATTCCTCGCTCCATGGGCTGTTTTCATGGTAGTGTTGAGCAGTGCTCCCCTTTTATTAAAGGGTTACCTGGAATGAGCACACTATTCCTCTGAATTCGGAGTTCTCCTCTCACATGAGAAGTTGAGTTCTCTGTTTTTCCAGAGCACTTGGAACCAGCAGCATCAGGCGAATTAGGCCCTTTCTCTGCCTCTCTGATGAGTGTTTGGCTAGCTTGCAGTACGCTAACCCTTTTGATTCTACAATCGCGCTGTAGGTTGAGCCCCCTCTCGTTGAGAGCTGGGTTTGTGGTCCCTCAGATAAGGTAAACTACTGCTAGCCGTTCCAGCATTGGAATATGCTGTAGGTAGAGCTCCCTTCTCGACTGAGAACTGGGTGTGTTACTCCCTCAGCTAAGTAAATTATTGCTAGCTGTTCCAGCTTTGGAACATGCTGTAGGTCGAGCTCCCTCTCGATTGAGAGCTGGATATTTGCTCCCTCAGCTACAGATTTACTGCTAGCCCTTCCAGCATTATAAGCCTTAAGATCGAGTTGATGACTTCTCAAACATAGCGTTTTGGGATGCACCATTTCCATCTATGGGCTGCTCTTTCAGAGTGCCACGAGAACCCCTTAGAACGGTATTGTTTAAAATCCATGTTATGGTAAGTGTGCACGTGAAGTCTTTGTACACTTTCTAAAATCCACACTGTTGTAAGTTTGCACGCTAGTACTCTGCGTTTTTTTCTAGAATCCTGTATGGTAAGAGCTACGCACAGCAGCTTCATGCTCTTTCTGAGTGGTTTAAAACCCCCGGTTCCGCCTTGGGCACCACTCCACCTATGTATCCTCTGGATACCTACTTTAACAGGGTGTTGCTACTAGGGGTCTGTTGAGACAGTTCCTTCAGCATATACAGAGAATGTGCGGTAGCCCCTGTGTGGCAGGCCAAGACTTAATATGATTCTAGGCTTTTGGTCGTATTCCCTTAAAGGAATCTATTCCTGATTCCAAGCCTTGAGCTCTACCCCGGGCCCAGGAGTTCTGGCCCTAACAGGTACGTTTTTTGGGGTATGTAGCCTAGGCCTTTGACCGTAGGGAATAATGTCACTGACAGCCGTCTAAACGTCCCAGGGGCAACTCCCATGGCAATATGGTAGAGTTGGTATTTAGTGCTCGCCATGATTTCTGGCATGCACTCCCCTCAGCATGGCGGCATGGGTATACTGTTCCCCATAGCGACCCCTAGAGGACGCAGTTCGAAGTTCCCATGAAAGTGAACGCCTCAGGTTACTTATGTAACCATGATTCCCTGAGTAGGGAATGAGACACTGCGTCCTCTAGGTTTCTTGCCATGCTGCGGACGCAAGCTTCAGATGAAGAAGTGGATGATGTGTTCTCCCGGCGCCTATTTATACTATAGTCGCACCGGTAGTGACGTCATGGCTGTCGCCGGCGAACGTGTTGTTGGTGTTTTTGCAGTGTATGCTTCAGACACGGGTCACGACGAGGCATTCCCCATAGCGACCCCTAGAGGATGCAGTGTCTCGTTCCCTACTCAGGGAACCATGGTTACATAAGTAACCTGAGACGGTTTAGAGCAACTAGTTAAAAATCACAAAAATTTTCATATTTGGGATTCTATCCCTTTCTGATTGTTTGGTTGATTGATTGATTGAGCTTTAATTGACAAACTTAAGTCTGAGGATGGTTGAGTGACCAACTAATCAAAATGTTGCGCACACAATTTCATGATAATTTTATCTGACACACCTGGATTTGGGTGTGCAAGGCACTATATTTTCTATTAAGTCTGGAGATAACAAAATGCATTTCAGTCGCACTTTAGTTTAGTCAATTATCATCATTAACTAACTATTAACTTTGACTTTTGCCTCAATAAACTCCTAATTTGCTGCTTATTAATAGTTAGTAAGGTAGTTGTTAAATTTAGGTGTGGGGTGGATTAAGGGATCTAAAATATAGTCATGCAAAATAAGGCATAAATATGTGCTTTATAAGTACTAGTAAACATCCAATATGCTAGTAATATGCATGCTAATAAGCAACTAGTTAATAGTGAGAATTGGTCTCTAAACTAAAGTGTTACCGACATTTCAAAGCATATTATTTCATCAGTGGCTCAAGCTGAAATGTATCTCTGTCTGTCAGTAATAGACCACTTCTAAATCAGTGTCTGACACTTCAGAAGGAAGCTACAATTTCATGGTCAAAGACACTATAGCTTCTCTGAGCAGCCTGCCAACTCGAGGAACCAATTATTTTCTTACCTTGGTTTGGATGTTGGCCAAGCAGAAACAGTACGGGAAAGTACTTTCACAACATGTTTCATCATCTCATAGACTTGAATCTCTTCTTCCCAAAAATACTAATGCAGAACTTGGTGTAACAGTATCAATATAGTTTTGTGAGGTACATTTTAGCAGTATATATCACTTTTCCTCCCCACTACTGAATCACACTAAAGCTAGGACATATAATTCAGACAAACAGTGTCCAAACTGTATATCCACAGGCTTGTAAAATGGGAACTGGTCACTTTATTGTGCTCACATGCTAACTTGGCTTTGAACTCGCCACCAATGGCAACCCAGCTCAGCAGACAGAGGTCAGGTCGACAGATAACCAAGCCCAATTTATCGCAGTCCAAACCATTCTCACTCGTTTAGCTTGAAGAAAAACAGATGTCCTGGTTTAGGACTGATAACACTCACTGTCTCCTGATAAATTTCACATTCAGGTGGACAAGCTGGGGGGAAATGGGTTTCCTGGGAGTGTGAAAAGGGCTTGGATTGCTGTCGGGAGGGGGGCCGCTGATTGGACCCGAGTCGATGTGACCGACAGAGTCACAGTGTGACGGATCAGCGTTGATGGCCAGTGTCCTGACAACCTCCGGATGGAAGGCTGTAATTTGATCAAGCTATCAATCAATACTTCCAGATGGGCATCAATCAAGAGCGTAACGCGCTGCACCCTTATCCTTCTCACTTTGGCAGCCGAGACAAGAAAAAGGAGACAGGAAAATAGGGGACTCAGTTTCTGTTCGGCTCCCCATCCCTCACTTCACAGCCTCAAACCGAGCAGGGTCACCCTGGCCTGGGTGTGCCTGACAGAATCACTTAGACGCTAGAAGAAAGTCCCACATGGACACATTAATTGTGCAGGTGAAGTAGGTGCGGAAGTGCTGGAAATATGAGTCATTGTGGATTAAACTAACTTCTAATGATACTGAGGACAGTAGCTCAGTACCGCTGGAAGAGTCGTGACATTATAATAGTGCTTAGGACTCCTTTGTTGAAACCTGGCGGAAAACAACAAAAGTCACCTCATTTAAAAACCTGACAGCAGCGGTTGTCAGGATAGCCGCTTCAGAAGTCATTTATAACCAGTGGTTTTGGAGAAACGGAGCCGAGTATTGTTAGGTCATGGAATCCCGGTATAAAAAAGGAGGTTATCTACAACTTGGGTGTTGAACGAGGAATAACTGGGGAGCTAAAACTTAATGGAAACTCTAAATGTAGTGGAAAGATAAAAACACTCCTGAATCAGGAGTCAAATACAATCTAGAGGTCTGCATGGGCGTTAAACTGAAGCCCAAATCCAGCCTGTAAATGAAAACCTGTGACCTAATCTGAATGGTATTGTTAAATTTTATGGCCAAATTGGACATTGCTCAGTCGTTTTATTTCCTATCAAGTGAGTAGACCCATATGCACATTTACAGAGAGCAAACAGTCTGCTAAGAATTCTGTTAAAATTAAAAGAAAATATGTTATATTTTATTAGTAGTAGTAGTAATAGTAGTAGTTGCAGTAGTATTAGTATTATTATAAATACAATGAAAGAAAATAATTATAATTTTGTCCAGATGCAATTTGTTAACATAAAAAAATATTTATAATATATTTTAGATTAGTATTGTTATTATTAATATTATAGAGAATAATATTTAAGTAATAGTTAATATTTTATTATTATTTAGTATTTAAGAATAATAATATTTATTATAAATATATTGTTAGATATACCACCAGCCTGCTAAGAGTTAACATAAAAAAATATTATTATTATTATTATTATTTGCTGTTGTTGTTTGTTCAAATATTCTTCTTCTTCTTCTTCTTCTTATTATTATTATTATTATTATTGTAAATAATAAATATTTAATTTCAAATATTATTCAGAATTAGAATTGTATATATTTTGCATATAAATTTTTTTAAGGAGCCAGCAGCCTGCTGAGTTGTTAAAATATGTATTATAATATATTTTATTAATAATAATAATAAGTATTATAATTATTATTATTGTTGTTGTTGCTACAATGATTATTTTTTTCCACATTCATTATTTTTCTATATTAATTGTCTTTAGGATAGGATCATTTATGTGGAAACTGGATAATGCTAAATGCCAAAGACTAGAACATGTTATTGTAAACACTGTCATTTTTGTACGTTTAAAAGAAAACATACCTGTTCAGGTGTAAGATCCCTCTGTTCATTAGCTAGCATCTCATATCCAACCATGAACTTGCGGATGGTTGCGGATCGCAGTAGAGGAGGATAGTAGTGAGCATGAAGCTGCCAGTGGCTCATGTCTTCCTTTAGATGACTTCCTGTCGGGGCCCCTGGAGAGCAGACCACAATTGTGACCACACATACTGTACGACAGTTGGACGATATTAAGAGAATCATCATATCTAGATTCAATTTAATTTAAAACTTTAAAGAACATATTCCCAAACCAATTTTTTTCCATAATGTGATGCTTTTTCAAATGGAACTAAATATTAAATGAAGAAGAAGAAAAAAATGTAGAGTGGGATTTTATCCATCAAGAATGGATTAGATGGTGAAAAAGGGTTGTTACACCAGAATAGAGGCAAAATTGAAAACAAGTTTGCAGTGGATTGAGGAGGATGAAAATGTTGTTCAAGGAAACAATATTAACCTCTTTCTGCTGGGAATTAAGATATAACTTGTATACAGAAATAGAAGTTCAAGTCATCCTCAAAAGCATTGATGCCGTATGAAGCATGCTACCATATTAGTAACTTTATTTATTTATTTACCAACCTGTAATTATATATTATTATTGCTATAATTATTAATAGGTAACACTTTATGTTAAGACCAATTCTCACTATTAACTAGTTGCTTATTAGCATGCATATTACCAGCATATTGGCTGTTTATTAGTACTTATTAAGCACATATTAATGGTTTATTCTGCATGACCATATTCTAGATCTCTTAATCCACCCAACAGCTAAATTTAACAACTACCTTACTGTTTATAAGCAGCAAATTAGGAGTTTGTTGAGGGAAAACTTTTTTTTAGTTAATAATGAATATGCGTTCCCTATTCTAAAGTGTTATCCCTTACCCATCCCTTACCTATCCCTACTATCCCTTACCCATTTAGGTAAGGGATAGTTACCCCAAAAAAAATGAAAAATCATAATTAGCTCACTGCCATGTCATTTCAAACCTGTATTTTCTGCATTAAACAAAGAAAAAGAAAAAAAAAAGCTGTCTGTGTGTTTTTGTCAATAATATTAAAGTCAATGGGGTTCAAAATAACAGTGGAGCCGACTGACTTTCATTGTATGTATAAAAACAGTTTATTTATTTTTTTAAACTATGCAAAATTGTCTGAATTACAAAGGATTATTTACAATAATAGTCCAAAACAATGGCTGAGATAGCTGCCATTTTAGAGGTGGACCGAGTTTATAAAGACAAACGTTCAATTTCTGGAATAAGGCTGCGTGACGAATCATGCAAAATAAGGCCAAGAACATTTATTAAGAAAGTAATAGGTTCGAGTTTAATTTCACATTGACTTCAAGAATGATGTCAAGACCTCTACTGACTAATCTTTGTGAAGAAGCGAAAGTTCAGTCATTCCCATTAAGACGTTAAGACGCAGCACGCGATGGCTCATTAAGTTTACTACGTGTTTCATTTTCAGCAACAGATCAGACAGAGCAAAAAAATGCTTGCTATCCTGATGGAGGACATTCTAAAAACCCCTCAAAAAAGTCAAAAATGACTGGGTGCACGATTCGGCCCGATTAAATTGACTTGGCATCCATCTGTCTTACAAGCGAAAGAAGTGTCTGCGGCTCTGCTGGACAGAGCAAACCGCAGCACTGGGCCTCAGCTAAAACCCAGCCAACGTACAGTAACAGAGCCTGTGAACGTTTGGATGCCAGTGGCACGCAAGACATCTCTTGTAAGGTTTCATGGTGCATATTAAGTTATAAAATGGCTGTGAGAACCAGCGGTTTGGCTGTCCGCCCAGTCCCAGATCCCCCGCTCTTATCCCCATTGTAATGAATGAAAAGCGTATCATGCCAGTTAAATCAGATTCATCCTGACTGCTCCAGTGAAACGGCTGTTCATTTCCTTTGCTGACATTTTCTCCACTGCCTCATGCTGGCTGGATGTTACTGGGTTTGGATCAGGTCTCGCTTCCCAGCACTCACATGCTCACACGTCTCTTTCTGGCCCATCTTGGGTTTCTCCTCGATTTTGTTGACTTTCCTGGCTCTCAGCTCTCAGGGGTTAGTTACTTCAATGCAGTGCGAAGGTATGTAGTGATCGCTGGCTAACAGCCATTTTTGTCCCGTGCCAGTGAAAATAATGTAAGGCTCAGATTCTCCAAATCTGTACTTATTGTAAACAGTCTGAACATGTAAAAACACTTGGCACAATGGCCAACAATATCAAGTTCGGTGATCTGAGCTCAATAAGACATTCCACGTCTATTTAACAATTACAGAGATGTCATAATTTCTAATAAAATTGTGAATGTTGCATGGAATCTGCTTTGAACAAGACCTTCCTATAACAATATTAAAGGTGTTGTATGTAATTTTTTTTGACTGTACTAAAGCATAAAAACACTATAATACATTTACAGATATTTAGGAAACATGCTATGTTCACATACTTGTTTCCTGAAAAACAACGCTAAAGCCAGTTATTCTACTTTGAAAATGTGCATTCTGTGTCGGAATGTCTGTTTTTGTTTTGGACTGTGTGATTCCGCCCACTTACAGTTTACCCAACAGTATTTCAACACCCCGGGTTGCCAGTTTGCAGAAAACACAGCATACTGCAGCAATGGTAGTGAGCAAACAAACTGGGTCAAATATCGCAGACCCTACCCAACCTAAAAAGCCTCAGCATCCATCTAAAAAGCTCAATGACCACAGGAATATTGAAACGCGGATAAATCAACTCATCACTTTTACAGTGTAAGGTTCGTCGCCTTCCATTGTCAGTTGTGCTGGTTTGTGTTGTGTGTCCTCAATCTGACAACCCACGTAGGTATTGAGTCTGTGGAGGAGGGGGCGGGAGAAACAATATTTTCAATTTAGACTGCAGTACCCATTTCAACCACTAGTCATTATTACATACTGCACCTTTAAAATGCATGAATAATGCTGAATGTTAATAAACCATCCAACTGAAGGCTATGCACTCAGGACAACAAGTCTAATCCAATATCAATAAAAATTAATTAAAAGATACTGCAAAGATATGGCATGGAGTAGGAAACTGATCACATTGTTAGTATTAATTTTTTTAATAAAGCAATAAAGTCATAATAATAATAAACACTAAATACTGTATAAATAATAGGGAAGACCAGGGTTAAATGTCACAGTGGTTACTCTTATATTTATTTATTTAAAAGCTACTGAACATTAATACCATTATTGACCAGAAAAATGCAGTTTAAGTAACTGACCCTGCAAATGGGGCATGTTGTCACATTATATGGGGTAAGGGGGTAAAAAGGTCAGCAATAAAACAATTATATGTTATTTTAATGTCTTAATTACTTTTGATATCTACACAGTACCTAATTTATGTATTATAGTATACGGGATTTATAGAATAACATAAACAACACAAGGCACAATTTGTTGACCAAAAATGCCTGCAGATCCCCAACCCTCTTGATGGAAGTGAGCGCAACCAAGAGCACTTCAAAGACAGGACCTTGATCTTAACTGAATCAAGTGGCTAAAAGGAGGCTCTCCGAAGTCCTGCAAGAACCACAGAGAGATCCCAAGAGGGAATGAGGCATGATCTAGGAGGATTTAATCTCCTCACGCCCATCAAGAACCTGATGATCAGGTCATGCTTCCCCAAGGATCTTCCATGCACTGCATCGTGATGTGCCAATAATGGAGGGGGACAGCCTCCACTCCAACTTGTAGGAAGCGAAGAACACCAATCAATGAACAGACTCCACTTCAGAGCATAAGCCTGCCTAGTAGAGGGGGCTCTAACCTGAGTTATAGTATCTATCACAGCCTGTTACAAGCCAGCGAAATCTGCCATCTTGTCCAGAGGCCAAATGTGCAGGTTCCAGAGATATCCCTTGGCTCCCCCACCATCGAGGGTAGTGAGGAGGGAAGAGATCAGACATTACCGGGGGGTGCAGGGCGCCTTCCATGTTTTAGTGAACTCACCTCCAGCTCACCTGTTTTTCAAAAAGACAGTAACACAAATCGCATTCAAAAACATTTATGTTGGTGTGAACAGCTCATCTAGGCAACATACTTGTTTTTATTAAGCAGATTTGACATATATTTACAAAAGTAAAGTTAATAAACCCAAGAAATTCAGAATTAGAAGGTGACATCAACGAGAGCAGCTCGTTAACAGTGAAAGTCACCATGCTGCTAACACACAACAGAGCTGCGCACTAATTAGCCTGCTAACGCTACCTCCCTGGCTCATCAGAACGCCTTTGTGCCTTCAGTGACAAAAAAAATATATATTTTCTTTACCCAAACTAATGAGCTCCATTGGAAATGGAACAACAAGCACGGGACTCCATGTGTAATGGTGTCCCTTATTAAATATGACTTTACCCTCTTCTAAACTCAAAATGAAAGTCGAGGTCTCCTAAAACTAAAACACTTGAAAGTGAAGCTTGAATATTTCAGCTGCAGAACAGGATCTTATTTCCTATGTTGGCTTTTGGAATGAATTATGACCTGGACAGGTTGCACACCTCCCTTTTTGTCATTTTCTGACTGGGTTTTCTATTACGGAGAGAAGAGAAACATATTATACTCCCTGTGAAATCCTCAGCTCTCTGTAGGAGGTGCTGAACAATCATTGAGTCCATCTGGACCCATTGAACCTCCTGTCCATCAGATACTAGATGTTCCTCACACACTGTTAGCATCAGGTGGTCAGGACAGCTGGACTTTAATTAAGAGCTGCCATTGCTGAAATCTTCTTTGTGCATATGAACAAGAACTTTTACAGATGCATAATTTTATATAATTAACTAGATTTATATTTTTGGAAGAAATTATACATGGTAGGTAGTGATATGTGATTATTAGGGAGTGTGTGTGTGTTTATTTTTTATTGCATTTAATTTTTTTAACCTGTTGCTATGTGGTTGCTAAGGTTTTCTAAATGGCTTTTAAGCCTGCTGTTGCTATGTGGTTGCCAGGGTATGTGGTTTCCAACATGGTAATGCTGTATTCTAATTCGCCTACTTATACTATGCCCTAAAAGTATGTACTCTTTTTGTGAAAGAAAAAAAAAACACTTGAGAATGTTTCAGTATAGTACAGTAGGCA